CAACAGCTATACGCAGGTGAACCTAAAATGCATTTGTCGCAAAGTGGCGGAACCAATCACCAGAGAAAATACCATAAATTTCCTTGAAGTGAACGAAACTCTCAATGTCGTTTAACACGGTATTCGAAGAAGTCAGTGCGTTCTATTCAGTGCACAAGGGGTCTCACGCGTTGGAAGACACAAGAGCCGGCGTTTTTTCATCTATAGAAAAAAAAGATCGTTCATGTTCCACACTGTTGATGACTTTACAAGCCTTGAGTATCTGAGACGCAGGTGCGCCTACCGAAATGAATAGAAGACTTCATGATCGACCGATTACACTCGGTGTGCCTAGGCAGTGCGAAATCAGTATCAGGGCGGGTTGTCAGTGAGGTATTTTGGAGCTTCGTTCTTGGAGCACTGATGTTCTTCATCTATGTCAGCGGCTGCATGACAGGACTGGATTACAGGGGAATCATGTTTGTAGGTGACATCAAAATACGACACGCGACCAAATAAATTAATGATGAAGGACAGTGCAGGCAGGACTAAATCGTCAGTGCATATGATGTGATATGTGGCTGCTCAATGTTACCTTGAGAGGTGTGTTACGCAGCGGTTAGAAACGGAAAATGCTTACAGGAAGGGCTAAGAGCATCAATACTTCCTCAACGGATGACATCGAAATTACGATCTGTTCATCTCTGAATCTCCCATTCCAATGTGTCAGGGCGGCAAATATTGACTTCGCAATTAAAGGGTGATCCATTGGCACAGATATGGAGTTTGTGAGAAACAAATGCTGAACATTTGGCCATTCGCAGTCGAGATAGGACTATCCCAGTTGGGGTACTCCTGCCTGTAAAGGATTTTAAGCAATTGGGTTGAGTTTAAATGGCGAGAGGCAAAATGCATGAAGAACTTGAGATCCGTAGCATACTGAAGACCCAATTTGCAGTTGCTACAGGTTGTCTCTTCGGGCCTGTTTTGAGCATCAGTGTCCCCTGCTGAGGTTCTTTGCCTCCAGCACGTGTGTACGCCTTCACTTTATCTAGATCGTGTCCGTCTGTAGCCAGCCAGGGAGGGGAAGAGCGTTAATTTATCTTCAAGATTTCGTAATCTTAGTGGCAAGCCTCGCGCGGGTCCAACATAGAATCGACAGGAAGCGTGGGGCGGAGAGGAGGACGGCGAAACGAAGCGGTGACAAT